ATGGAAGGTTTGTATCAGAACTATATTTTGACATCGTTTGGCGTTACGTAGGTAGTGTGATGTCACCGACAATTTACCACTTAGTTTCTAAGACTGGGATATCTCCTACTTGATAGTATTGAAAAAAGTATGGGTCAACTTGAGACACTATGACCATATAGAAAAGAGACCTGTAAAAGTTGCACCACAGCAGTGGTAAGCAACTTGCGGTGTTCTGTAATATATGATAATCTAGGAACACAAGTCAGTGACAAAAGCCGCCCATTTTCTCCAGGAAACAAAACTTAATGTAAACAAGATTGAATTTTGAATTGGATATTTAGGATAGTCCATACGAAAGCATATTGGTCAACTTGCTGGATCTATCTATATGTGATTGTATTGTTGACACGGGGCTGGGAAACTGTCGTATTGGATTATGTAAAGCACACAGGGAGGATGAGTGTGCTTAGTACATGATGGCCTTGCGACTGAGTGGCAATGGAAACTATGCTGCAGGGCTATTGGTACGGTTTACTATAGTCAGATAGAGCACGACCGGATGTGGCGACGTTGACTGTAACTACGTGGTGAGACTTCAATATAACGTAGTCAACTTTTGTATATTTCACATAAACAATAAAAGAACTTTTTAATTGCATATAATATTTGTTGTGAAACTACCACATGAACTGCTTTGAAATCAAACGCCGTGTATGTGAAAATTATTCTGTGTTCAGATCTACGTCTTGATTTTACTCATTTTGTAGGCGCGAGTGAAATAGCAATCTCTAGTTTACGACTAGTGGTGCTGGATATCTTTATTGTCGTTTAAGTTCTAATTTTTCTGAAAGCGTCGGTGTTGTAGATTGTGGTATTCCGGTATAATGATTTACAACAGAAAAGCTGATGTTCGGAAAACGTTAATCTGAGATTAAACCAAATGAAGACAGCAAAGATGTGAAGCAACCATAAGTGAACAAATAAACAATCTTTATTCAAGATCGTGAATTTCGACTCGTGTAACCGGTTCCGAAATTCATCGTATAGTTTCTGACTGTTGAGGGTAGAAAGAAATTTCTGTCTGTACAGGTCAGAGATAAGAATCAGAATAATCGCGTGTGTGTGTAATAAATATAACATTCAAATACGGGCCTCGATTCCCTTTGGTAAACAGAGTTCAAATAGTCCATTATGTAGCTTTGCACTAAGAAAATACATATATTTTTTTTTCTTCTTCTGAATTGGTAGACCTTAATGTAGTGGGATAGCCACTAGTTTTGTGCTTTGAAACTGTAATGTTAAACTATACAAATAGTAAGTATAAAATAGACACACTATCACCACTCTACAAAACTTATTTTCTATGTGATTTTTCCCTATATTGCTATATTGACTCATAGATATATTAAAAACAGAACAAAGCTAATTTACCATGTATTCGAATTTAGTTCTCGCGGAGTTTCTCCCTATTCTAAGACACCTTCGTTACATGTATTTATTCATGTTATACGTTTATCAATTGTAGAGTTCTGCTTCGGGGTTTTTTCGTCATAAGTAATTCATGAACCAATTTTTGATGTTGGTGTTTTAGCACAAAGATGCATAAAGGACTATCAGCACTCTGTTCACCACAGGGAATAAACCCAGGATTTTTTAAAATTATAAGCCTGAAAACTTGCTGCCGACCCACCGGGGGACCCAAAATTTGAATGGAGTAAGATCGGAATTTCAATGTATTTTGTATGAATATATCAAGGAAATTTTCAGGGCTTCTTTATTCGATGTGCTGTTAACCCTTAACTCGTTATGTCATCAACGTCAATTCACAAAGGTCATGGTTTAGGCAGTTAATAATTATCACTTGTAACATCAGAATTTTGTGGAGGGTTTCGTGTGATTTAACATGAAAGGCCCTTGGAAGTCGAATTCTAAAATATCTGCGTTCTAGCTTCAGATGTAAGTATACCAAATTTTAACAGAAACTGTACCGTTTGTATCGCAGTCAGGGTGATGAAAATAACAAGTCCGTGGATATTTAGTTGATGAGTTTATTGCTTAAGTTCGTTCTATATTGACATATCTCTTAGTAACACTAGTGTGCATGCTATTAAATCAAATTTATTTTCCCTCTTAAGCTTCCAACAATTTAGTATAATAATTTGACCTTTGTGTCATCTATCATTATGTATTGGTACGTAGAAAAGTACCAGCCTCTGTGATTCTGTATACAGGTTAACTGTAATTAGAAATGTTAATACACAAGTTATAGTGAGACTTGAATTAAAAAAAAAAGTTCGATTATTGTTCATATTCTGATAAGTGTGCGTGTACGTTTCAAATAAATCTTACGCTTGTATTCTGTCAACAAGAGCGGCAGTATATTTAATGACGATGTATATAAAAACTAGAAGTTTACGCTGAATCAATTTTATTCAATGGAATTTAGCCTTGTATAAAACGTGCTGACAAGTACAATGTCAGTTATACTGCAAAACATTCATTACAATTTTGAAAAATCCCGTCAGAATTTAAAAAAAATATAGATTAGGAAATGGATTCGCCTTCTTAGTTTGGTATAATTATAATATACAGTTACGACGTTGCCGCATCCAAACCAGGTAGTTCCCGGTAGTAGGCTATAGTTAGCAGTAGAGTTGAATGTGCAGAGTAAACGAAGCAGCAAATCGCCTGGTTGAAGATGAGCGATATTTCAATCTCTGGTGACGTCTTAGAGGAACATAGCTTATGAGCTGTAATCATACCATAATCCTAACATTTTTTTTTCTGAATAATGACGTATTCATAACATCAAACCGACTAGTAATTCACAAACTTTTAGAATTAGATGTAATTTAGAAGCTCACTTTTGACCGTTTTTCACAGTATCTTAAGATTTGCAACTTTCTGGATGCTGCTAGTTTAGACTGTCTCTGTGATCTCATCAGCATGTTGGGTATTAGTGTCCAGAAAGGTGGCCTCGATAAACATGTACATGGTAATACTTCCAACTGGTTTCTGATTGGTGTAAAGGAAAGTTAGATTTTGTTTTATAATTTAGTCAACGTCTTTGATAGTGTATGAATTAAAGCAAGTTAATACAGTAAACTGGTTTTTATTCCATAACCCGTTAGGCTGCATCATACTTTCACACAGTGACACCGTAACTGTTTCATGTTTGTTTTGAATGTGAACCTCGATCTTTGTGTTATTATTTAAACTGAATCTTTATCAGTGTCTCGCCCTGCCTAATCAAATCTTCCTATCTACCAGTCAGTTGCCAGTGAAATCCCGTCGATCCTCCTATTATTGCGCAGGTAAAGTACCTGCGAATGAAATATTATATCACAGGATGTATGTATTCTCCCCAAAACTCGTGATACATAAGC